GACTTTACTAATACTGTCAATTCAACGATAAAATGTTTTATTTCATGACACTAAACATTATTGGTTAATATGGCGATTCCTTCACAAATCGTATGATAATTAGTGCAAAAATAAATGAGAAAAAACTTAGTATCAACCAATTCATCGGAATCTTCAGCATAAAAATAATTGTCCTTTTACTGCGTTGCTTCGAGTGGCCGAGTGGTCTAAAGCGCCCTCCGTTACTAATCCTTGCCATCTCACCTCTGTCTGCGTGGGATAGAGTCTAAGATTCAACGAATGTGGATATGTGAGAAAGCTTGCCAGTAGCTTCTTGTGGGTCGGTGGTTCTTTCCGCGAATTTCACGGTTTCTTCCTCTACTATTAATACTGGCCGCCATGTATAGCCTATCGTGTGCTGAAAAATGGCGTTAAGCCCCAAAAAAACAGCTGCTTTGCAATTTTCAAGTTTATAATTGCTGCTTTTAGAAAGAATTTGTCGATTATTAAAAGGAGCACGAGAAGTCGAGCTATTATTGTAACCAGTATCTTCAATATATTGGTTCAACCGAAAAAAGATTTTATTTCGTATTCTATTTTCGGTCTATCACATTTACTCCACATGAATACTTAACGAAAGATTGAACAATTCATAAGAATAAAGTCCCAAAAGGCAGAAAAATCTAATTTTTCTAAACACAAGTTTAATTGTTATCTTTATTTTATATTTCACACAAGGTCGTGGGTTCGAACCCCCGGTCGAGTCATACCAAAGACTTATAAAAATGGTACTAACAGCTGCCTCGCTTGACGCTCAGCATTAAGAGGTTAGTGTTAGGACTGGTTGGCCTGGTGTCAGGATAATGTGACTGGGTAGTACATCATGCTACATGTCTGCGGCATGATGCCCCAGTGATAGACATCACTATAAACTGCCACACTGCAGACATCGTAGTGATATGACTGAAAAATTGTTAAAGTTGCGTTAAAAATCATAATCACATAATCACATCACAAAAACATTTCATTTGCTCAGGAGAACAATGCGTACGTGCTCTTTCCAAAAACAGTGTTGTAGTTGTTGTCCCATTGTCATCCTCCTTCATTATATGGAGCAACACCCAATCACTGTGTCAGTACACACTTTACTATAGCAGCATTCACGTTTTCAGACGTTGTATTGCTTATATTACAAATAATTATCTGCTTATAAACTTGAAAACATATATTCAATTATTCATGAATTAAATTAACAAATCCCAAACATTACAAATAATTATTGCAGTAAATTACTTACCATCGAGTTGTCCATTGCTCATGAGTTGTGTTGCTGCCATTTTAATGGTTGTCATGGACTCGTTGGATGACCTGTCACTCGAGATCAGACAAGCTCTAAAGTATATCTAAAATGTAAGCTCACAAAATGTTTCGATTTAAACTCAGGTCATTTTTTCCAATGGTTATAATCTGTTTTCCTATAGGAAGTGCTTATGTTTGAATAACTTTGCCTTTTAAGCTCTGTGATCGTAAGTAGGCATAATAGAGTGATGTTCATTTTCATGGAGTTGAGATATTGGCTAAAATACGATGAAAGTGTTTGTCTTCATAAATATTTATAGCACATGCATATAATTAAATATAATTTACGGAAATGTCCACAATTCTGAATGCAATCTTAGAGCGGCTTTTATCATTTTGTTAATGAACGTTAACAGTTGTGATAAAAATGAAATTATGTTTTTGCTGCGCTTACGTTAGGTAGTCCGTCAGAAAAGTGTCAGTATTGATATCATTTTCCACCAGTAGCTGTAGAGCCAACTGTAACTTGCCAAGCATAACGGCTCTTCTAACACACTGATCTTTGTGAACTTTGCTGTGACGTTTTTCAGAAAGAATTTTTAGCCTTTTTCTCTCCTCTGCCTGAAGAAAAGATTATGAAAAACTGCGGATTTTATCATTTTGTGTGTATATATATATATATATATATATATATATATATATATATATATATATATATATATATATATATATATATATATATATATATATATATATATATATATATATGTATGTATGCATAAGTACATACATACATGTGTACGTACGCACATATATGCATGCATGCATACGTACGTATGTACATACACATACATAACAATTCAATTCCAAATGACAGAGAAGTTTTAATGTTCCTATACCGTTACGAGTCTATGAATAGAAAAGAGTGAAGACAACAAGCTTTGTAAAATTTAACAAACAATTCATTTCCCTAGAGTGCATGTTGAAACAAGAAAGAGAAACAGAGCTTAGGTATTGCGAATTAAATCCAAAAATAATCAAAGAATTAAAGACACAAATTCTAGTAATTAAAAGTCCTGAATAAAACTTAAGTACAAGTCCCGAAGAGATCCAAAATTCAAGACGATGACGTGTCTGTTATACTCTGCGAAATGATGATGCAACAACAGTGTCTTACTAAATCACAGAAATATTATTCCAGATTTGAATTTAGTATATATTCCAATGAATGTCTTTATCCAAGAATTTTGTCAGAGCACTCTTGTATTTTTAGAGAAAATAATCACTTGAATTCGATAATTTGAAGAAAAATCAAATTCAGCCCAAACTGGTCACAGCATAAAACAACTTAGATTAGCAAATTTTCAATTACCCAACTAGTTTGAAATACTTTGTGCCAAACAAATTAGATACCTTTTAGCTACATTTAATGACGCTGACCTGAAAATTTACTGTACGACAAAAAAGATGAAATTCGCAATGCTGTGTGGAAGGAACTATGACAGAAAAAATACACTGACTACTTACTATACACATCAGTTTGACCACAACAATGAAAAATCCAAACCTTCTCAAGAGCTACCGCAAATACAGCACCAAATAGAAATGTATTAAACTTGCATTCTTCAATCTTTGTCAAACACCCCAAAAATTGCGCCAATTGAATCAAACATTGTAAAGAAATGAAACTTTCTGTCCTTACTAATCAGAGTGGTTCATTCATCAGCCCCACATGTTATTTCACAAGATAATTTCCAACTATTCCAAATATTAATTTTCAAGATTATCAGGAATTAAAAATGTCCTCCTTTACTATACAGATATAGCAAAAGTCACGAGTCATGTACGCATATTTACTCATTTTAAATTAAACATAAATTGTTCGTTTAAAATTTGAAACTAATTTTCTTTATCCAAAGTCTATTCAATCCTGATTATTTTGAATGCCTTGGGCCTTAACTGGCACCAAGCATTTCCAAACAAACTTTTCTATCGATAGGGAATTTTACAAAGGTGGTCATGTTCTAAACTTGCTTCAAAATAAGAGCGCGTCGAGTGGAATGGTCACAATCAAAGGTAGTGCCAATTTGTTTATCTATATGCGTAGCTCTCAGCATGACATCACATCACACAATATTCAATCCGAATTGTACTGGATCGATAAAAAGAGTGAAGACAACAAGCATTGAAATTACAAACATTCATTCCCTCGAGTGCATGTGAAAAAGAAAGTGAAAGACTAGGTATGGAAATTAAATCCAAAAATAAGTCAAATATTAAGCAAAATTCTAGTAATTAATGTCTGAATAAAACTTAATACAATGCCGAAGAGATCCAAATTCAGACGATGTGTCTGTTAATCCTCGAATGTGTGTACACATGTTTATAAATCACAGAAATATTTCCAGATTGAATTTAGTATATTACCAAGAATGTCTTATCAAGATTTGTCATGAGCACCTGTATTTTTAGAGAAAAATCACTTGATCGATATAGAAAAACAAATAGCCCATGGCACGCTAAAACAACTTAGATTGGACCAATTTCCAATTACGCAACGCTTAAATACTTTGCAACAATAGATACTTTAGCTACATTATGACGCTGACCTGAAAATTACTTACGACAAAAGAGAAATCGCGTTCTGTGTGGAAGGAACTATGACAGAAAGTACAGCTACACTATAATCTGCTGCCACAACAATGAAAATCCAACTTCTAGGCACCGAAATACAGCACAATATGGAAAGATAAAATTGCAGTTTCATCAATTTGTAAACCCAAAAATTGCGCAGTTAATTAAAATGATAAGATATGAAATTTCGTGACTTTACTATATCGAGTGGTCATCATCAGCGCACATTTTATTCCAGATAATTTCCACTTCAAATATTAATATTTCAGATATAGAATTGAAAATGTCTCCTTTACATATACAGTGCAAGGACGATGTCATGTAACGCAATTACTGCATTTAATAAGACATAAATTGTTCGTAATTAAACAATTTCTTTATCCAAGTCATCATCCTGATATTTGATGCTTGCCTAATTGGCCAGCATTTCAAAACTTTTCTCGATGGGAATTTTACAAAGTGTATGTCAAAATGCTTAAATAGAGCGTCGATGAATGGACACCTTAAGGCCCATTTTGTCCAAAAATGTCTACGCAATTTAACATTGATTCGGCTGTATGCACCTCTCGGATGCGTGTAAATAATGACGTTCGAAAGGAAAATGGAAACATTAGAATCCAAATGAAGTGAATACTTGCCATTTAAAGGTATGTTGAATCTAATTTTATAAAATGACTGAAACAGTCGTTGTTGAATGCCTCCATGACCTGTGTGACTTTTTTTTTGTTGAATTGTACGGTAGTCTGTACCCAGTGTTGTAATGTATCATACCGTTGCCTATCACATAACTATTTTCCAAATTAGAACTGATGGAAGTTAAAAGTTATCCGTATGAAATATAAGAATTACCTTTTGATATTTTCATATAACACTCATTGATTCAATGTGATAATACAGGAATATGTTATGCTTCTATTTTCTCATGCGTAGAACTTGTTAACTTAGGGTCGACAGCTCTCCCCATTGGCCTCATTAACGTGTTTGTATCATTGCGCAGTTCCAACACGTAACAAGTTTGTTTTAAAATATTTCTCCCCTTTTCTTCGAACGGCGTATATAGCTAGATTCTACTTAGATACTTATTCATCGCTTTGGTGGACTAGTGGTTAGAGCGTCCGCCTCGGAAGGGGGAGGTCGTGGGTTCGAACCAAACCGAATCATACCAAAGACATACAAATTGGTATTAACAGATACCTCGCTAGGCTCTCAGCATTACGAGATTAGTGTCATAACTGGTCGACCTAGTGTCAAGATAATGTCACTGGGTGAGACATGATGCTACATGTTTTCGGCATGATGTCTCAGTGCTAGACAACACTATAAACATGCACAATGTAAACTTTCATAGCGATATGACCGAAAAATTGTTTAAAGCTTCCTTCAAAATCAAAATCACACACACAGATAATTATTTAGATTTCCTGAAAATGATATAAAGCCTGATTACTGTTATATAGAATGGGAGCAATACTAGTACCTGGTGAATATTACTGTGTTTTGAATCTGTTAACTCAAATCCAAGTCGCGGGGTTACATGATTTGTCTCCCCACTGGGCATAGAACCAGGAATAGCCTCGAGGAAAGACCAGTAAAATAACCCCACGACTTGGATTTCCTTGTCTCGGTGCAAAGCCCTACAAAGATTCTCTAAACGTTGGTAAATGGCCTGCTTGAGTACCCTGTGATAAATAAAGGATTCTGCTCGAGTGTTTTGATGCAAAATTTATAAGACGAGTTTAATAAAAGTATGTGCAGTAAGATAGCTATTTGCAGCAATTCTTTACATTATTCAACTAGTTTTATATTTTTGATGCCAAATGAACATTAATATTCTATTTATCGACTAATGTTACGGACATAGAGGATATTTGCATGACAATATAAAATATTTCTACTTCAGGACTGAAATATTTCCTTATATCTACAAAAAATGTGGATTTTCTTGTTTTTTTATATTGGTAAGGCAAAACTAGTCGATATGCCTGGATATTGTTCTCCAGTCTCTGCGGCTGCATTACATCGATAAAAAAAGTTACGAAATATACAATACTTTTTGACTAACGACCGTTTATAAAATTTATCTTCTAAAAATAATGCTTCTGATTGTCAATTTGTAATATTATTCATTGTTTTCAAACGAAATTTAATATATTTTTTTATTTTCGTTAACATTTTTATTGCGCTTGGGCAGAGATAATGTAGAAGAGTCCAGAGAGCGGTCACATCCAAGATTTCATAGTATAACATCTTTATACAAAGAGTTTGATGATTGCGAGTTTACTTGTATGTTGTTTGTTGTTGGTGTTGTTGTTGTTGTTGCTGTTGTTGTTATTCTTTAATTTGATCATTTATGCATTGAAGCACGAATTTTTGGTCTTGTCAAGCTTTAAGTCGCGTTCGGTAACAGATGCTGCAACCAAATTTCGATTGTCACTTAATTTCGGTTTACAATCAATACTCAGTAGAGGAGGTTTCTATCGTTTTCAGACATGCTTATAATTGTGCTAAGAGTTTGAATCGCTACTTACACAATTTATTAACACGTTTTAAACCAAGCATATGTATATGTTTGCCGTAGAATGTAAAATGCATGCAATAGTTTATGGGTGACGCAGAGTATAGAATAGCAATAGTTCTGGTCAGTTTACAGGATTCGTCTGGAAAACTAATTCAAATAATTTACTTCTTGAAGCCTACCATTTGCTCTTTGTAGTTTGTTTTTAGTCATTTTTGTATGGCGCCTACTCATAGATTAAATAAATGTATAATATAGGGTCTTAAGTCATAACAGAGTTTACGATATGTTCATCCTGATTGTGCGTCGGGGTGGGGGTGGATGGGAGGAGCAGAAGAAGAGTAGAAATGAAATAGGTCTAAATATAGAAATACAGATTTGAATAATATTACATACTGGCAGACATATTACATAAATGAGAGAATTTCAATATCTCATTGTGAAAAATATAATAAATTGCGTTATGCGATGACGTTACTTTATGATGTTGATAAGTGTTCGGACACAAGAGCTATATATATGTTGTAGATATAACGTGATGGCGGCAATAAAGGTGTGTGTATGTGCATGTGTGTGTGTGCGTGTGATTTAGATTTTTAACGTAGCTTTAACAAACTTTGTTATATCACTACGATGTCTGCAGTGTGGCAGTTTATAGTGATGTCGAGAACTGGGGCATCATGCCTTAGACATGTAGCATGATGTCCCACCCAGTGACATTATCCTGACACCAGGCCGATCAGTATTAACACTAAATTAATGTTGAGCGCCAAGCGAGGCAGTACCATTTTTATAAATCTTTGATATGACTCGACTGGGGTTCGAACCTACCACCTCCCTCATCCTAGACGGACTATCTAACCTTTAGGCCACCGTAGAGGTCAATGTAAAGGTAAGCGTATTGTGATACATTGCTTTGTGTGATATTCACATGCAACACACTGATGTTATCGAACAGATATTAAACTTAAATTATTGGAAAATGATACCTATAAACTATCAACAAATTTTAGTAAGCATAATAAATAGTGACCTTTATATCTCACTGGGAATAATTCATAAAATAAAATCGTGAATCTGAGATCAAGAAGTCAGACAACACTACCATCATTTATACTCACAGCAAAGCTTTCATTGTCACGAAGAATTCCAAAACAAGTCTCTAAAGTTTGTAGGTCAGTAACTTTCAGCAGTTTTGTTTTATCTTCTTTCCGTTGTAAATCTGGCTCAGCAGGTTCATGGAAATTCATTCCGGTGAATTCCTCTCCCTGAAGAGACTTCTTCAAAATTATAACAGAAATAAATATCTGATTTTTGCAGCCCTCCATTTATCTCCCATGGATGCATGCGACAAGATTTCATCCTTTCTCATGAATATGCATGATCAAGCATACATCGTCAAGAAAACACACACACACACACACACACACACACACACACACACACTTAAACATACGGGAGAGTGTCATTTTAAAGAACGATATGTAACTGTGTGTGGAAGGTGAGTTTTGATTGGCTTATTCGATCAACAAAATGTAAAGTTGGGTCAACATTCTGAGAGAATTTTACTTGGGCCCGTAACAACCAGTTAAGTAGGTTATGTATATTCGTTAGAAATGAGAATTCTTATTTCTGGCAGCCACGGGTGAAAATGGAGCGTAGATTTTCGCTGGTGTCTTTAGACTACGATACCTGATTGAATGGGTAGATAAAATACAATATATGCAGTATGCAATATAATATCCAGATATTTCAGACAAAAAGCAAAGATACATTAAAATAATGTATGCTATATAGCAACCATACCTGAGAGAGAGAGAGAGAGAGAGAGAGAGAGAGAGAGAGAGAGAGAGAGAGAGAGAGAGAGAGAGAGAGAGAGAGAGAAGCCTTATAATAAATCAAACTATATTTTAGAGCAGAGGTAGAAAACACATACAGGGACAGAGGCCTACCACTCATTCTTGTCTTCTAATCATTGTAAGATATTGCTCATTGAGGTGATAGTCAAGCAATACTGTTAATATAAACTAATATGTAAATGGGCTGCCTTCTTCAAAATATGCCGAAAATCCAAAAATCATTTATTTTCTATGAAGGAAGACACTAGGTTCGACTTATCCAGATATTTCAGACAAAAGCAATGATACATTAAAGTAACAACCATACCTGAGAGAGAGAGAGAGAGAGAGAGAGAGAGAGAGAGAGAGAGAGAGAGAGAGAGAGAGAGAGAGAGAGAGAGAGAGAGAGAGAGAGAGAATTATGACAAATTTTGGGTTGATATAATGTGCTGAATATAAAAATAGCGTGGAAAAGCTTGAAGGAATGAGGTGACGGTTGTGTCTAGATATTGTGAGATGAATCATGTACAGAGCAAGAATGGCTTTTCAAGAGGTTGTCAAAATTACTGCTATGTTTTGATGTCTTGCAATATTGCATTTCTTATTATAGGGGCTTGTTCAAATTTACAACACTAATTTTTTTAATTAATTATTTGAATAAAATCATAATAATCGGAAAAATGAGCAACGTAAAGTTTTCCAAGTCTCCCACTTCTTATAAACCCAAATTAGTATGTTCAGATCTGAGGTTGAAACTGTAAGCGTGCGCAAGCAACAAATGAATCACCTCTCGAAATTATCGTAAAGCAACCTTAGATCGGTAATAATCAAATATAACAAATTTCAAGATCGGCAAATTGGTGCAAATTGTATAAAGACCTCAATTTTGTTTGATCTGTTATTTTTCATTTTGTTTACATGGGTTTAAATTTTTATACATGAACGGTTCGTTCAATTTTGTCGAGCAGACATGCAGTCAAGACTGATCTGAAAAAAAACCGTTAAGTTATCATTATTTACGTGTTTGAAGCAAATAAGACAGATTTCGGTATATCAGCAGGAATATAATGGATTGCAAATGGATGATCATACTGAGCGGATCTCTGTGAAGTTGGGATATCATATGTGCAAGAACCTACTGTAAGACATTCTTTTTGGATATATAGCATGGCTAATCGCCAGAAATTCATGTCATGCTCATCTCCAAATAGCCTAAACGAGAAACAAAGATCGTAAATTTAATATGCAACTATTTCATTAATTTTTAAACAAACGTTTCTGGGAAATATACATGAGGGAGTAAATATAAAATGACTTTTATGAAACATAACAATATTTAAAAGTGTACCTTGCGAGAAAATACAGAATACTGATAAAAAAATGTACGATTTTGTAAACTAATGGCATAAAAAATTACAAGACAAATGGACATATACTTGAAAAAGTCAGTGAAATGCATTTGTTTAAAATGTAATCAGTATATTTATAAACATTTTATAACTTGTCCATGACAATAAATCTGCACTATTTTCAACCATAACAATCACAGCTAAATAATTTCTCATTTTATTAAACATTGTATTTCGCCCTTCTCTTCCATCGCCACCCACACCAAGTAATTAGAATTGTTTTAGAAGTTTACCTGGCAACATTAAAGCATCTTTCTGCAGTCTGTGTACATGTCTTTGTCAAAAAAGCCAGCTCCATTCTGTAATTTAAACTATAAGAATCTTATGTTTTTCATAGCATGCCATATATCAAATGATATTTCATATTATATGATATTATGTATTCAATGTTGCCCATGACCTTTCCTC